CTGTATGCTGTTGTGTGAGTCCCTTCAAGCCATTAATGTTCATTGTAATGAGATCTACAAGTCAAATTATATTATCACTTGTAGTGACAGCTGAGAAATCAATGCTGCTGTACTATATTCTGTATGTATCTTATGTATTAAGAGAATTTTGTAAAGAATACATTTTCATTATCTTTATTATGATTTTTAGGACCCAGAGAACATTTAAGGCAAGACACTACAGGTGGAAATTATTATTTTGGTTAGATACTTTTTCAGATTTTTGGATAAATTGAATCAATACCACATCTTATAATAAAATAGTCAAAACTCGACAGAAAAAAAATGTTTATTTCACTGTTTTTGTCCAATGCATTATTTGAAAGGTAGCAAATTTAAAGACTTTAAGCTCCAGCCACTTCACAATCACCTCATGTCATATATCACTGAAAGCTTGTTTCCTGGTGTACTGGATATGATATTAAAAAAATATATATATATATATATATATATATATATATATATATATATATATACAGCATACTATGTGTGATTATGATATACATGTCACAGTCTTATGTAAAACTTATAAACCACGTTAACTAGAGCAGAAAACACATTAAACCACATTTTATTATTACAACTATTCTTCTTAGAATGTTAAAATCTCAGTTATTTTTGTTTTATTCAGAAGCAGTTAATTAGAAGCTAATTAGAAGCTTATTACAGAGGAAATTCCCCCCAAATATTCATTATTGTTGAATTTATGTTAGATTGTATATTGGAAAATGGCAGAAAATATTTATAACATTAATATTACATGCTATTTTCTTGATTACACAATAAAAAATAATGTTTTTCCAACAAACTTTTCTGTAAAAAGTTTCTGTAAAAGAGTCTTCGCAGTGAATTTTGTTGTTTTAAGAATTATACATTATACATTTATGTGCATATGATTAAACTCATTATTAAACTCATAAATAAGTCTCATTTGCATAAAAAAATTACATTTTTGAAAAGTTTCAATAGAGAAATACAAAGAATATCAGCATGGTATCTAAGGGTGAAATTTGTGATATCTATTGTTTAAAAAAAAATTGTCCTCTGCATCACTGTAGTGTCTAACCTTAACCAATTAGGCCAGTTTAATAGTTGATCCTTTACAAACCAAAAACCCGGGATAAAGAGGATGAGTGAATGTGGTGTGAACTCTGTGGAGGAGCTTCATCGTGTCAGAGACGCTGTAGAAGGACAGAGTTCCTGCCCTGTGATCCACATACACTCCTATTCTAGAGGAGCTGGGTATTACTGGGATTTTAGTTTCTTTACAACTGTGATAGAACGAGTAGTAGGACGGAGTGCACAACAATCTCCAGGACTGATCACTGGATCCAAAAACACATTCAGCAAAGTTTCCTTTCCTGCTGATGCTTTTATATGACATTGCTATAGAAACCCCATCATGTCCGCTCCACTCAACCTCCCAGTAAGAGCGTCCCCACACACCCTCTCTACACATCACCTGCCAGCAACTGTCAAATCTCTCGGCATGATCAGGATACGGCTGAGCCGTTTCACTGCAGGTCACCACTGTGTTCCTCTCAGAAAGACAGAGGTGTTTATTTACTGTGTTGGGATCCAGTGTGAACTCACAGGAATCTGGAAGACGAAAATAATCAGCATTTTAAAAATCTCATATTTCGGCAAGAACGTAAACCATAATTCTGTATTCGTTTGTACGAGATAACTACAGATTCAGTGATTAATGATGTCTCTGCAATGCCCTTTTTTGATTTGTGCCTACATATTCGCACATGGGAAAGACTTACATTTTAGAAACTCTTCTCTGGTTTTATGGTCATCTGGAAGAATAATCTGGACTTCTGTTACTGTAGAAAGAAAAGCATTCATCAGTTGCATCCATGCTAAGCTCAATAAAATATCGCACCATCATTAACATCTTCGAACTAGACCTGCTTCTGACTCCTAACTCTATTCACTTCTGTATTATACAACCACTTAATTACCAGTAGATAAAAGATCCTGCTATAATAAGGTCATTTTAATGTAAATTGGAATTTTACAATTTTCTTTATTTCTTTTTTTATGTCACAATGTGCTATATAAATAAATGTAATTATTATTATGTAAATAAAGTTATTATTGTATGTTGCATTTAATATACATGCCACAAGTTATGTCATGTTATCACTTAATTACAGCAGCTATAAACAGTTGTTCCCTCACTAGTCTCTCTCTTTTTTTTTTTTTTCAAACAGAGAAAGCAGAAAGAAGTCCATCCCTGTGAACGAGCTGTTAATATAAAACTGCGATTTGCAGCTGCACTACTGTCATAGCTGCTGTTATAGAAAATTAATCAACACCTTCTGACCAATCGGAATTGAGAATATGGTATCGTATATGGTAAATGTGTTTATTTCAGGAATTGTATTACCTCGACTTGATATCTCCTCAAAGCCCTCTTTACAGGATTCTTCGAGTTTGTCTCTCAGCTGAGACACAGACTTTATTACACTGTTGAAAGGGTGGAAAGACCTGAATATGACGGTGGGGATGTTTGCAGGTACAGGAGACACGGAGGCAGACTGGAAAATCTGCATGGAATTAGAGGTTTATATGAAGAGAAACCCAGACCATTTCATGAAAAAAAAAATAGTGAAATCTCACACAGATTTCATAAACCAAGTGTTTATGATATTTCCTGGTTCTGGCAATGGCATGGACACCTTCTCTCTCTCTCTCTTTCCCTCTCTCTCTCTCTCTCTCTCTCTCTCTCTGTCTCTCTCACTTTGCAGTCCTTGATTCAAGAGTTTATTCATTCAAAATAATCAATTGGTCATTTGAATTTGCCGAACTGACTCTTTTACACTGAAAAACGTAATTTATAGACCAAAATATTCAAATTACTGGCAGAATTTCCACTTAAGTAAAATATGTACGTTCAGCAAAAAATAAATAGATAAATAATGGCATGTTTATGTTAAATTCATTAAATAGAAAAACACACACATTTGCAAACTCAGACATTACAAGACATTACAGTATATCAATATGTAAAAGCTACATACAGCCATAATGACTCTAATTTTAAGAGTGTATGTTGCTTCCTGTGAGCTGGGGTTGTAACAACAAGACATCCACATCATCCTGTTTAGTCTCTTTACTGAAATGCCATGTTGGCTGATATGGCTTTCACAGCGCTGTTACCTGGAGGAAATGGATGGGATCTTCTGTGTGTGAAAGCCTCTCCAGCTCAGCATTTCTTCTCCTCAGCTCTGCAATCTCCTGCTCCAGTTGCTTCATGACTTCTTCAGCTTGACTCACTGCAGCTTTCTCCTGAGCTCTGATCAGCTGTGTCAGTTCATTATGTCTTTTTACAATGGTTCTGATCAGATCAGCAAAGATCATCTCAGTTTTCTCCACTGCTGCCTGCGCAGAGCACTTTTAGGAGATACATAGAAAGAAAGGACATAATGAATCCTCATACTTTTGGACCCAAGACATATTTTTTTCCATCAGTGAGAAATTGGTTAGATGTATGGAGAAGTGTTGCGTGATCCTGAAACAACCTATACAGCAACTAGCTATTTTTCTTCTCTGAGCTCACCTGGTGAGATCTCACAGCCTTCCTCAGCTTCTGAAGCTTATTCTCCAGGTCCTGGATTCTCTGCTGGGATTGTTTGTGCATCCCTGTCAACTGCCTCTGCAAAAATACCATTTCATTTTTATATTTATTTTAACATGAATGTGTCACCACGTGCACCAGCTACAAATCATGAAAATGTACATTTGCTTAGTCTTCTATTATAGTTACCTGTTTCTCAGCTCTTCCTGCTGCAGCTGATATTGTATCATGTCCTTTATGTTTATCTAACATACACAAAGGGCAGATACACTGCTGGTCAGTGCGACAGTAAACCTCCAGCAGTTTGTCATGCTGAGAGCAGATCTGCTCCTGGAGTCGTCTGGAGGCTTCGACCAGCTTGTGCTTCTTAAAGGCAGAAGATTCATAGTGAGGCTGGAGGTGAGTTTCACAGAAAGAGGCCAGACACACCAGACAGGACTTGGTGGCTTTGTATTTTCTCCCAGTGCAGGAATCACACTCCAGAGATGTGGCATATTCTGTCATCTTCAGCTTCTCCATCATTCAGCAGTCATCACATTGTTCTTCAGGTCAGGTATTGGAGTGAAGGTTTGTCTACACTGAGGGCAGCTGTAGACTCCTTTCTGAACCTCCTGATCCCAGCAGCCTCCAATAAAGTCCAGACACAAACTGTGGCCCCGAGCTGCAGTCACTGGATTCTTCAGTTGGTCCAGGCAGATTGGACAGTTGATTGCAAACTGATGCTGAGCCACTGAGCTCACACGTAAATGCACAATAATAAAATGAAATCTATTGTTACATGAAACAATGTATCAGTGAGATAAATCAAAGGGTAGAAAAAGCTTCCGGGTCCAATGTATTACACCATCTCGGTTAATATGTCTGTGTGCCACACTTTTTGTTACCTTGTTACAAATTATCAAACACGATTTAAAGTTTAATTGCTACTATGGCCATAAACCCTTTGTAAGAATATAAGAGCAAGCACTTCACACTAACACTTTAATTAAAGGGTTAGTCATTAGATTCCTGATTTAAACTCAGGATCTCCCGACCATAGTGTGAAAGCATTTCTTCTAACAGAGTTTAAATCCCAACGATGGGACAACCAGCTTCACAGGTCTCTGAGGAAGCACCACTCCAACCCCTTCCCACTCACAAATTCTGAGAAAAGGTGGTAAAATAAAAAAAGGTTTAGTTATTGATTTTGGCACAAGTTAGCTTAGGCTAGTTAGCTAGAATTGTTGCTCTTCTTCATGGTCCGCATATTTGATTTGGCACAGTGCTTTTTTTTAAGCCGGATGCCCTTCCTGACACAACCCTCCCCAATTTTACCTGGGCTTGGGACCAGCACTGGGAGTGCAATTTCGTGTGCCACCCCAGTGGCAGGGGTTGGTTCCCTGGCTGGGAATCGAACCTGGACCATGGTGGTGAGAGTGCCGAGTCCTAACCACTAGTCCTCCAGGGACCCTGTCTAGCTAGCTAGACTACATGGCCAAAAATATGTGGACACAAACTGTTACCAAAGTTTGAAGCACACAGTTGTATAAAATGTCTCTGTATGCTGTAGCATTAAGATTTCCTTTCATTGGAACTAAGAGGCCCAAACCTACTCCAGCATGACAATGCCCCTGTGCACAAAGCGAGCTCCATGAAGACATGGTGTGTTAAGATTGAAGTGGAAGAACTCGAGCATCCTGCAAAGAGCTCTGACCTCAACCCCACTGAACACCTTTGGGATGAACTGGAACACCAACTTTACGCCAGGCCTTCTTGCCCATCAGTGCCCACCCTCTTGTTCTCTGGTGGTGAATGGACAGATGCCCATGGCCATGGACCAAAATCTAGTGGAAAGCCTTCTCAGAAGATTGGAGGCTGTTATAGTAGCAAAGGGGGGACAACTACATATTAATGCCCAAGGTTTTGGAATAGGCTGTTCAGTGGTCGGGTGTCCATACTTTCAGCCATATAGTGCAGTTTTAATATTCCCAATTCAAAAAATTCATTGTTCAAAAACTAAAGCCACACCCCTAAAATAAATGCAAGCCAGTGCCTAGGTTAGAACACAAGAATTTTAGTGCAAGAGAATGTGACTGACAAACAAATACAGTGGTGGCCAGTTAATGACATTCGATGAAACTTTTTCACATGACTCATGTTACCATACATTTCACGAGGAAGGAGGATTATCTAGAAATGCTGAAGCAACACCTCAAGTCAGCCAGAAAGTTAAAACTTGGAACTCTGGGTTGTCCAGTGGGACAAAGATCCTAATCATACTTCCCATGTTGTAACAAACTGGCTTAAAGACAACAAAGTGAAAGTATTAGGGGTCATCACAAAGCTCTGAATCTCAGAAGATTTCAATTTTGCTCATCATAGTATCATGATATTGTAGTGACCTGCAGGGATTTGGAAGTTGGGATTATAATACAACAAATACAAGAATATAGAGGTGATAATATACAACAATTGGGGGAACATCTCATCAATCACTGGCACGCTACCAGCCATTGAAATGCCCATGGCAGCCGGTGGTTGGTGGCCACGCGTGGAGTGGGCGGGACCCCAAGGTGGGTTGTCTTTGTTTCAGACAAAAAAAAAAAAAAGATAAATCTTATTTGGTTTATTTGGTTGTGCTGTTTTCTTGTCCTGCTGAAAAAAAAAAACAATAGAAACCTTCATAGAATTTGTATTGGTTTTAATGGTTATAATGGGAATTGTAATGGTTTTAATGGTTATAATGGGAATTGTATTGGTTTTAATGGTTATAATGGGAATTGTAATGGTTTTAATGGAAGCTGTAATGGTCCCTGTGGGTCTCTACTGGTAATTTGTTGCCTTCTATTGGTGGCATGTCTAGTGGATACCATTAAGTGGATACCAATAATGGTAATGGGTTTAATGGTTAACAGCTGATGATTTGTAATGGTATTTGTAGTGGAAACCATTAGAATTTCTGTGATGGTTTCTATTGTTTTGTTTTTTTTTCAGCAGAGTGGAAAATTTCTGGACTGAACTGGAATAGCGTGTCTGAGTGAGGAGGCCCACAAACTGATGTGAGAAGCTTGTGGAAGGCTACCGAAGCATTTGATTCAAATACAAGGCAATGCCACCAAATACTAACGAAATCTATGTAAACTGAAAATCTGATATAGGAAATAAAAACAGAAGTAAATATGTCTCTTAGGTATTATTTTGAAATGACCTTTTATGGAAATAGACACCCTAAGTGACTAAACACAGGAAATGTATGGAGTTGTGAAAAATAGAGTTTGAATGTCTTTAAACTTTTGACTTTTCTCAGTGAAAGAATGGCGCTCTGATAACAGTTATATATTTAGAAAGCCAAGCCAATTGCCGTAATAAATCACTCCCACTATTACAGGTGAAGATCAGTTACTATATCAGTACTACATTTACAGCATTTGGCAGAGAGTTCCTTATTCGCAGCAACTTACAGGAGTGATTTCTTTATAGGCAAAACATTACATAACAGGTTTAATTAAAGGCTTAAAGATTTCACTATTTATTTTACAAGTTTAACGTTTACCTTCTAATATTTTAACACGTTATCTCAGATGCCAAATTTTGTTTTTCAGCGGGAAATTCAACCAGAATTTCGTGGTTCGGTGTGTGGGACACAGCCATGTGCTGTAGAGTTATTATAGCTCTCTCAGGTTAAAAAATACCATATACAGCTCTTATCTTGAATTATGTAAGTTGGTGGATGAATGATCTGCCTGTGATTGTACTGATTTCCATATAATATCCCTCTACACACAGTGTCCATTTTATTAGGTAAATCTAGCTTATACTGTACTTACTTTCATTAGATAATTATAATTAGTTACTCAAACCACGTTATTACACAAGTGGAAGAGTTGGATCAGTAGGACTGTCATCCGTTCACCATTACAGCCCCAGACCTGTTGTTTTTGTTAGGATGATGAGTACATTTTTCTCCAGACAGTTTTGCATTTTTGAAGTGCTTGGCATGCTTAGAAAACTTTCCAT